TTGCACTTATAATGTTTTGAGGGGAAATTATTTACTAGCTAATTCCAAAATTTACTTTAGCAGTCAAAGTTTTTATGTCCAGATTTACTACAAGTAAAACTGGTAGGTACATTAGCTTGTGACTTTGGTCTTGGCATTTGGAGAGACATTACAGGATCTTCACTGTTATTCTCCTGAATCATATTTCAGTTTCTTCGAAGCTTTGCAATGCTACTTTGAATTGTCTGAAAACAACCTCAAATCCCGAGTTGACATCTGCTCTTCTCTCCATTCTCACCAACTTGTTTCACCTTTTTTGGATAGACTTGTGACTGGCGACAAAAAATGGATCTTTTATTGAAATGTTAAGTGTCGTAGACAGTGGCTTGCTAAAGGGGAAGGACCCCAGCCACAGCCGAGAAGGGAACTTCATGGGCAAAAGGTTCTTCTTTCAATCTAGTGGGATCGCCAAGGAATAATTCACTTTGAATTCTTACAACCTAATGCAACAATTAATGCTCAAATATACTGTCAGCAATTAGAGCGTTTGAACCAAGCTTGATGGAAAAAAAAGACCTGCTCTAGTGAATCAAAAAGAGGTGATGTTTCATCAGGACAATGCGCGACCCCACACAGCAAGAATCACATTACAAAAGATCGAAGAACTTGGTTGGGAGAAAATTCCTCATCCACCTTATTCTCCCAATCTTGCTCCTTCAGACTACCATTTGTTTCGTAGCTTACAGAATCATTTGGAAGAAACAGCTTTTGTAACACAGGAAGAGGTTAAAACTGACATTTGTGAATTCTTCGAATCAAAGCCAAAAGAATTTTACAGTAATAGAATTAGTAAGCTTGTTAATAGATGGAAGGAAGTCATAGATAATCAGGGAAATACATTGTTGATTAAAACTGTAATTAAATGTAACATTTGGTCACTTGTTTTCTTTATTAAAAATTCAGACAGAACTTATGGGATGACCTGATAGTTTGTCTTGCTGAGTAATAACAGTTGTAAATGGTTTTAAATTGGACGGGAGACCTTTTAGGACCATAGCTATTAGTAAACCATCACCAGTTACCTCCCCTGACGTACTTGCTTTGCATAGAGAAGAGGTTAATTCGATATATAGGGAAATTAATTTGGGTCTTCCTTTTGATAAATAGTGCTCTCTCAATTTTCAGTGCTTTTTCCCCGTTGTCAGAGGCTTCTCTCATAATAAGAGACAGACTTCAATTATCAAGAAACTAAATTAATTCAGCAAACAGATTTGCATTCTTTCCGCAGTACTCTTTGTCATTGATGATACCAAGATTGTTTCACATAATTTTTGGATTTGCATTTAATCCCAACATTTTACCTCCCACAGTTCATATTTTTATTCATCAGCATTATAACAGAGTCCATTACTGGACTGATAATCTGTGGAGTGAGTAGCCAGAGTCAAATGCAAAATAAATAACAAAACTGTCCAACAAACAGAAGTAACAAAATTTCCAATAAAACAAAAAAGGAATAGGGCAAAAATGAAATAATATAAAGCAAACAAGATATGCAAGGCAAAGTAACAGTAATAAGACAAAAAGTTCATAAACTAAGAATTTGCATTGACACACAAAAGCAGGTTCGGACAAGCAAACGTAGCATTCTGACTTCTAGACAAGGCAGATCGGGACTGAGTCATGTCAAACTAAAATGGCCTATTTTATTGGCTAAGAAAAAAAATCTAAGTTTAGCCATCTGCTTTATCAACTACTGTGGAGCCATGGTCAAATGCAAAATAAATAACAAAACTGTCCAACAAACAGAATTAACAAAGTTTGCAATAAAAAGAAAAGGGAACAGGGCAAAAATGAAATAATACAAGGTAACCAAAAAAGTTCTGTCCGTTTTTTGATTAGTCATTGAATGAAGTTGAAATATATACGAAATGCGTGTAGCAATTGTTTTCAAAATCAGACAGCCGGAAGTAGGAACATCAGACGTTATAAAAAACACGCGCACCGTGCCCGGCCATCAGTTATAAGCCTGGCAGCTGTGAGAAGGATGGAAGTGTCTAGAGATCTTGTTCGGGGCTGTTTGCTTTACGACTTCAAAGTGCGCTTATCAGCAGCTGCATCAAGTCGCCACATATGTGTTTGGGGATAGTGCTGTGGATGAACGTACTGCAAGGCGTTGGTTTTGAAAATTCAAGTCGGGAGATTTGTTTCTCCATGATGAGCCTCGCAGTGGACGACCACAAGTCTTGAATACCGGAGTCCTGAAGGCAGCCATTGAAGAGGACAGTAGTCTAACGTGTGGTGAACTTGCAAGACAGTTCAATGTTTCCGATGAAACAGACTTCACCTGCACCACCTAGGTAAGACGTACAAACTGAGCAAGTGGGTTCCGCAAACGCTGTTGGAGGTCCACAAGGGACAACGAGTGGCAGCCTGCGTATCGCTGCTTTCTCACCACCGTACCGCATCCTTATTCAATAGAGTGCTTACCAGTGATGAAAAGTGGGTTCTGTACAAAACTCCCAAGCATTCCAGACATTGGTTGTCTCCTCAGGATGCTGTCCTTCACACCACAAGACTGCCTATGCACCCACGCAAGATTATGCATTGTGTCTGGTGGACAGGTCATCAAGTGGTTCATTATGAACTGCTACCAACGGGCCAAAGGGTCACTGGAGACCTATACTCGCAGCAATTGAAACGTGCGCAACAGGCATTGCGCCAGAAGAAGCCAGCACTGGTGAATCGCAAAGGTGTGCTTTTCCTCCATGACAACGCAATCCGATTACCACTTCTTCCACTCCCTGGATAATCATCTTCATGGGAAATTTTTCATCAATGAAGCAGACTTGCGCAAAGCCCTCAGACTTCTTTGCGTCAACCCCCCCCCAAGTTCTACTGCAAGGGCATTGAACAGCTGGAGACACGTTGGCAGGTGCTGGATGCCGATGGCGATTACTTCAAAGACTAAATATAAGTTACACATACTGTGAAGCGTTTTCTTTTTTTCCTTTAAAAACGGACAGAACGTTTTTGGTTACCTTGTATCAAGCAAGCAAACAATATATGCAAGGCAACAGTAAGAAGGCAAAAAGTTCACAAACTAAGAATTGCCATCGATGCACAAAAGCATGTTCGGACAAGTGTCTTCTAGACAGGGCAGATTGGGACTGAGTTATGTTCAAGAGGGAAACCAGCTTATTTTATTGGCTAAGAACAACTATACGAATAGAGAAGCATTTTAAATATAGAATGTTGTTAACTGCAGTTGCAACTCCTGAGTGCGCAACCTAATATTCACAATCTTCTCCATGCCCACCAAACCCATCCTCTCCATGGAAGAAAATAATTCAAGCATTAAAGGCAATTTAAATTTTACTGCTTCTTTTTTCATTTAAATTGAATTAAACATAATTTGTTATGGTTTTTCATTTTATATTCAATTTGTTGTGAATGGAAATTAAATTTTCATATAAGGGGTCTAATCAAGTCAAAAATCTGAGAAGCCCTGATTTAAACAATTCAAAATTATTATACAAATAAAATTGAGTAGACTTGTCAAAAATAGACTTTACTTTTTTTAAATATCAAATTTATCAGATTTGCTATCTTCTCTTATTGAATAACCAACCAGGTTGTATGGAAAACAAAATCTTTAATATCAGTTATTCTTTTGGGATATTTTCTTCATTTTATAAAACACAGACATGTCATATAAGATCGCTGTATGGAGATTCCACAAACTACAAAAATTATTTAAATACCTTTTGTAGTTGTTATTCTGGAGTCATTTTGCTGAATGACATCGAAATGCACATTCCCCATGAATAAAAATGGCCTCTGATTTTGTCCAAATAAACTTTTACAAGTCTATTTTTTTAAGAAACAAATTTCAGAATTGATATTTCTCCACACACTCCAGAAAACTTGACCAACCAATGCCCCAATTTTTCCAAACACCATAAACAAAAATGTAAGTTTGATAGTGGTTTACACAGAAATCAAACAAAATTGTAAAGACAACATACTGATATTATTGAGGCTGATCTAAACCTACACAGAACACAACACACTGATTTCCTTTCATTCATTACAAATTATATACAATAGAATTCCTCATTTCACTCCAGACTCTTGTTTTTTTTCAAATTGATCAACAATAAACATTTTAAAATCAGACAATTGCTTCTAGAGTATGGGGTATTGTATGGCTATTGTGGTTTTGCATTAAATTGTGTGTCTATCAATTCTATCAGGATTAAATGTCAAATACAAGTTAAACAATGGTGTCTATTTATGTCAGGTGTTTTTAAATTCTGTTAAGTTTTACTACAAACTGTTTATATCTGTGATATCATAAGTAGTATATATTAAATATATCAACACTTTCATAAATTACATATAATCAACATAGCAAATTCAGATGATAGAGAGTAATAATAATAATAAACATGCATGTATTTTAGTGTTGATTGTATTCAGACCTTGTAGACATTCTGGCTTTACTTATCACAGCCCACAGACTTTAGTTCTAAAGCCATTCAATTTCTGGTATTATTAAGAAATTAATTCTATAATTAAGTACACTTGCAAATCTCAGCAATTAATCTGTGTGCTGGGCATAAGAGAGATTATATAAGGTAAATACACTGCAAATGAGAAAGGGATTGGCAATGGTCAGGAATGATAGCAAGTATTATTGATAGAATAAAACTATAATATGTATAATGTGTAATTGTCACTCTTTAATGGTAAATCTGATTTAAATAATCAGACAAATGATGTTTATTCATATTAGGAAAATGGATATCCAGAAGCAACGTCATTGGTGAATTCTCCTTCCTCATGGGGAATGTCATCGGTTAAAACAATTTACAAATTAATTTTAGTGTGAATAAAGTTTTCCATGGGAAAAGAAAATGATAACTGAACAGTTGTAGAAATACTGAATAAGGAAAGGAAAAAAATCTTTGCAACATTTAAAAAAAAAAAAAAAAAGAGAAATTATATTTTTTTTTTACCTGTCGGAGGTATCTGGAGTTCGGATAATGTAAAGGTTATCACAAGGTAGTGTCGTAGTAGTGAACACAGTGTACAACTGGCTTCCATTAGTGACAGAAAATCTAGAAAAGAATTACACAAAAACAATTTCATCATTCAATTTCAGGGATAAAAATAAAAGATAACAGTTAAACACAATTACACAAAGATTTTGTTATGATGAAATCTGTGGATAAAAACCAAATCATATACACTAAGTAGGTCCAAATTTTATTTTACTATATGCTGTAAGCTCCTTTGATGATGTTAGGAATTCAACTTCTCAACTCTTCCTATGAAGAAAGATATCTGACTTGAAGCAAACCAGCTGTAAAAATGAGACAAAATATTTCATTATGTTAATCTTTCATTATGATCTGGCCTTGAGAATATTAATTTTTATTTCTTCAAAATACAATTATTAAAGTGTTATTGTGTCTATGTGTTTGTTTTACTCATTTGAAATGTATTCTGCAAAATAGTTTCAGTTTAATAAATTTTGAACATGAAAGTTTTACTGATTGGGCCATGCAAGTAGAGAGAAAAATGGCAATTCTATAAGTAATGAGTGTTCTATTGTCTTTAATATAATTCCTTTGTAGGATGATGACATGTGATAACAGATTCACCTGACAAAACAGTACATGTTTTAATTTCACACTAGTGTATTCATCTTCGTTATTTCTGACACTGTTTCAGCCAACCAAGCAGAACTTTAGGCAATCAGGACTTTCATAGATGAGGTCAACTTAAAACCAATTCCTTGATAAAAACAAATGCATTGTCAGAAGGACACATTTATTTTCTAAAAAAATCCCCATTGTAAGGCAAAAAAAAAAAATGTCAAAATAAGTCAATAAACAGCAGCAGCATATCTTTATCACAAAGTAGAGCAGCCAAAAAGAAGCCCCCCTACCCCCCCATAAAACAGTGTGTGAAAGCTCTTCACTTAAGTCCAATACCTAAATAAACTTGTTGATGAGATGATAAAAAATGTACTGAATGACTTAAAGGACTGCCAGAAGCAACATACACTTGAGGAATGTAGGAGAACAGACTGGCTGAAATGTATTCAAAACAACAGCAATAAAGACACTCATGAAAATTGGAAAACTGACATTATAGGAAGTTGTCACAAGTTTGAATTAACAGAAATAAACAAAATATTTACAATGCTATAGTAAGTTCTTCATAGAGTCCACGTCCTCTCCAAATAGTACAAGACAGGTAGAAATGTTTTACATGGTACCAGGAACAGGGAGGCAATGCATGTCTCCTCTTCAAGTATTCACACTTTTGATATCATTCACAACTTGTTAAGTAACTAGCTTCTGCCAATGGTAATGGATATAACAGCCTTAATGCTATCATGAGAACAAAAATCTCAATTCAAAGTCATTATTAAACACTTTATCTCACTTGCTTGTGAAGCTGCTAAACTGTCAGGGTTGATAATAGGAGTAGCAGCTTTATTGTTAGCATTATTTGGGCAGGTGAATTGAAGTGGTTAGGTACCGATTCACTTCACTATAAATCTTTATAGCATACCAGTGACAAGACATTCTGTCAAGATATCAGGTGATGATAGAGCACAGGGACAAATGAATTCATGCCTTTCCCAAAGATATGAGTTCACAATTGGAGGTAAATATGACCTCAATAAAGATACTAATCCCATGAAATTCAATTCTCAATACAATGCAAAGAAATGACTAGGCTAATGAGTACCCATCCATCCCATAATTTAGTATAAATCCTACAAAATACTTACTGTGCAATCCGTGGAAGCAACTCAACCTCTTTCCTAGAAAATAAAAATAACATTAAGTCATGAATAAACCTTTAGATTCATGAATTAATAAAAGATTTTCTAACCATCTATCCAAAAGAGAAATTTAAAAGATTTAATTGTTTTTTTTCTATAATCATACTACATTACATTCTCCTTTGATAATTCATGGTTTCTTCACAAACTGCTACAATCAATCCAGCCAGCCATTTTCTATTTACAGTACATAAAATGTACAGATTTCTTATTGACACCAATTTTTCTCAAGTACTGTCTATGTTTTTTAAATTATTCAAACTAATATCCTCAGCTTTGTTATTTTGGTTCCTACTTTTCAGTCTTTCTTTATTGGGACTTTTATTGCCGGAAGTATTTTTGAAATTAAGTATTGTTAGTATTTTCATTTGGTAAATCTCATTATTTTTTTTTATTCCTTCCCCCCTCCACTTACATACACTATTCACATCAGGAAGAATAAAAACAACAGGATGAAACTTTTTTTTTCTTTTTTTTTCCAAGTACTTCATGCAATAAAAAGATAAAAGAACAGATGATGTAGTGAAAAATCTATTCATCAAAACAAAGATAAACAGACTAGTACAATTAAGAGAATAATTACACATGTCAAACCTACACATTATATATATATATGTGTGTGTGTGTGTGAATATATATATATATATATATATATATATATATATATACACACACATTGGCAGCAGTCAACCCATTACCAAGCAAAACTTTTTTTTTTTTACTTATTTACTATTTTGTGCCCAGTAATGTTGCCAGGGAGACAATGAATCAAGGTTTATCTGGCAGACCTGGCATGCCTACAATGGTGACACAGGTGTTATATATATATAGGGTGCAATGGGTACATTTTCGCCATTTTATATTTCTAATTTTGTAAATGCACAGTTTGTTTTTGATTTTGTCGACTGCACAGTATAGTTGGATCAGTTGGGCACCGTCTGTGAGAAAAAGAGCATCATGACGCAATTCACTCCACCAGAAATTTGGAAAGAGTATGCTGCACTGCTTGGCATTCATGCCAGAATCTCAAAATACAAACATTTCAGTGTTTGGGTGTCACTCTGAAGACAGTGCAGAGGATTCGAAAACAGTTGGATGAGTCTAATGGTGATTATGAAGGCACAACAGCTCAGAAAATTCACTCTGATCGTTTTGATAAGAAAAGAACTCCTGAATTTGTTAGAGGGTCTCAGACTCAATACACAGAGGCCTACATCAAGTGCCTCGAAGAGGTAGTGCTGCCCTAGATCAAGAGGGTGGCTGCTGGAAGATACTATGTCTGGCAACAAGACTCTGCACCATGCCACACAAGCAGGAGAACCCAGTCATGGCTGTCAAATGATTTCTGTGACCACATCACCACATCTTACATCTGGCCACCTAACTCCCCAGACTGCACCAACCTTGATTATTATGCGTGGGGCATAGTTGAGCGAGAGACCAACAAAACTCCTTGTCACACCAAAGATTATGGCAGCATTCACCAACTTAAACAAGAAGACTATCTAGAGTCACAAGAGATTCCAAAATTGCCTGGAGGCCATGGTTGAATCAAATGGCGATTTTATTGAATAAATTTGCTCTTTAGTATTTCAAGATATTTTTACATAATTTTTGTAAATATATCTGTTAAAATGAGATGTCAGTGTTATTTTAATTTCTGCATAATTTAGACAACAATTTAACCATTGTGCGTGTGTGTGTATGCGTGTATATATATATATATATATACACACACACACACATGCTTGCTGGTAAAATCATACTCAGAGAAATATTTTTAGTCACAAATATCTGATTTGAGTCATTTCCATGAAAACTAAATGCAATAAAATTAACAGAAGGATGCAAAATATATTGTCAATACATGCATTCTGTTTTTGCTGTCAACAAAACTTACTTGAGCTGATGCTGTGAAGAGAATAACTTGAGTAAACGTGTACAGTGACATTCCCTTCCAATGACAGTCTAGAAAAAGAGAAATGAGACAGTTGTTCAAAATTGAATTTCAAAAGAAAACAAACAAACAAAAAAACTTATTTCTGCAATAATAATAATGCTTGCCCAATTATGTTTTCATCATTTTCAACTTTAAACTTTTGGCTATAAATCACAACACAAAAAAAACATAAAAACCATAGAGGAAATATTTTATTAATTTTAGCATTTTTAGAAACTTTAGAGAATTTTCCTGCAAATATTCCATGTGATAATATTAATATTCCTGATAAAAAACAAAATGAGAGTTGAAAATACTCAAACAGTTTTTGATTTGGATGTTTAACATCTGATATGCAGAGCGGGAAAATATAACATGAAACAGACAAACATTTTTGGTCTATTTCAATGAAACACATATGTGTACACATTCACAAAATAGAGAAACACACCTATGGACAGACATCTATACTCATGTCCATGTACTAATTAAAAAAATAAATTCCTTGACTATTTAATTTCATTCAACTTTAAGAAGTAAAAGATTTTTTACATTTTTTTCAATGCATTCTCAGCCAAACAAAGACAATAAATATATTGCGTGGGGGGAGAGGGGAAGGTGGGGGGAGAGGAGGGAAGTGGGGGAGGGGAAGGTGGGGGGGGAGGGGAAGGTGAGGGGGAAGAGGGGGTGAAGGTGAGAGAGAGAGAGAGTGGGTAAGGCTTGCTTGCATTGAACTGAAACTCCTCCTCAGTGAACTTTTGACTTCCTGATTTTTAAAATAAACAACTTTACAAGCTTATCATCATAAAACAATGACAATTTTCCTGGTTAATACAAAGTTTTTCATACAATGTTTCCCAAAAGACATACTTGAGATCAGAAACACACGTTCAACCTAATAAAATAACATTTGGGGGAAAACTAGAGACTAAAAGAAATATGACACAAAACTAATATTTTCAGAGGTGCAGAAAAATTTATGCTTGGCCTAGTCTGGTAGAAGGGCACATTAATGGAGCACTATCAATGTCTTGTAACATTATTTTGCTAAATATCCTTCTTTAATAAGTATTACAAACAGAAATACATGGACAAAATTAAAACAAATACCTCACTTGGATTGATGATCTTATGATCACTGGTTCAATCTCAGGTTTTGACAATAAATTTGTGAAATATTTTTTTAAAGTTTGGTCTGGTGATTCTTTTATAAACTTATAAAGAATTGCAAACAATTTGCACACTTTTTGTCATAAATGAAAATAGTTTCAACTGAGTGAGCATTAGACTAGAGGTCCTAAATCTTAAATAGTAATGAACAACTTAAAAAGAGACAAGTGCTTTAGTTTAGCTATTTTTAAAAAAAAACACTTGGATTCAACTGACTGTGCAGTTTTAAAAAATTACTTTATCAAAATTGGGAAATATTTTATTTATTGATTCTAACATTGAAGCAAATAAGAATAGAACAAATTTTGACATTTTTTATTTTCATTTTAAGAATTTTAAGAATAGTAAAAAAGCACATGGACTGGAAAAAAAATTTTTTTCCAATTTATAGGGAAAGTACTATGAATGACTGAATATGTCAGAAATGATTTGCAAAGTATTGTATTGGGATTATTCACTAAATAATGCTTGACGGTTGGGTAGGCCAGCTGAGATTGATAGTAATCAAATCTTTACTTGAGAATAACCAACGCTATACAAGAGTTAGCCAATATATTCAAATTATGTATTAAAAATCATTTGCATCAATGTGTTTATATCAATCATTTTGATAGTGTCCTCCTAAGCCACTGACAATCCATTTCTTGTTGATTTTAAATGCATTTTTACAGCGAAATTAACATTGCACCTATACATATACTAAACTTATTCTATCAGTAATGCTTGCCTTCATTCCTGACCACTGACAATCCCTTTCTTCCTTATTGTCAATGCATTCCTATTGTAAAATCATTAACAATGCATTTTCTTTCTACTTATTCTGTCACTGTAATATCATTCATCTTGATTTTTAGTGTACAAACATGACAATATCCGTAGCAAAACATTTTCCAAGTTAGAAAGTTACCAAATAGCCATTAAATCATTTCCTATTTTGTGGATATAACATGAAAAATATTTGTAATCATTTTTGTGTCTAAGTCAATGAATATAAATAAAAGAAAATGTCTTCACTTCCCTTTCTATAGTTTTAATGTTGAGTTGCTGTAATTCCTGAAATCCTGGTCAGAAGACATCATAGATAATATCAAACCTTTATCTGCTTATGATTAAAGTGAAGCAAGATTATACTTGGTCAAAGCTGAATGAGTGGTAAACTTTTAATTTGTTTATTAAGAACATCATTATTAGCAATTAAAACAATTTTGGATCAAAATTTACTACTTATTCAATATTTTTTCAATAGAAATATTTATTGTGTTACTGAAGAAAATGAATAAATTTCAATGGGTGAGGAGCAGTATAGTCAGTGGGTAGCAGAACCAAATTGCATTAATATTTAAATGGTGAGGATTGTTTCAATGGAAGACTGTGTAGCACTTACTGTTGGTTTGGTGAGAGCAACTTCAACTTTATCTTCTAAAATTTGTTGCACCTGAACTAGTGATTTATTTGGTTTCACAGGGTACAGAAATGTGTTTACTGAAAAAAAAAATAAAATAAATAAAACAAAAATTGACCATTTCAACCAAAGAAAAGTTTTTACAAGGTCTCAAAATGTCAATGTTGGTTTGAAAGAACATTTTTGTCGGAGGAAACAAAGACAAAGCTGAATGAAAAAGAAACTAAACATCAGAGATAACAAATTTTCCTGACTGTTGAACTCAGGCTTTTCCCAATTTCTATAAGGGGAGTAAATGGGGCTTATCCTGTTACAATGAGCCATGACATGTTGGCAGTGGCTTTTTAAATTCAGAATTGTCCTTCTGGATAACTGCCCTAGTAAGGCTAAAGAGTCTCTTCTGCTTTACTATTTATCCATAACTGGGGGGAGAGAATAGCTGAATTCATACTTTTTCCCAAAGGAAATATAACAACCAGGGTTAGAATTTGAACTTGATCTGATGATTCTGTTATATAGAGGGGAGAGAATTTACTTTTTTCTGTATCACCAAAACAAAGATATAAAAATTTTCAAATTGCCATCCTTTAGTCAGTTCTTATAAATCTGCAGACGAAAGAACAAGTTTCAATTTACCATCCATGACAGGTTCACGATCACAAAATTTTATCCAAGGGTTCTTAGAATTATCAGCTGGAAACTGCAAGTCTTCCTTTCTCAAATACTGAAAAATGTGAAAAAAAAGAGTTAAAGTTGAAAAAATTTAAAAATAAATGTTGAAAATGAAAAATTGCAGCAAAAAAGAATTAAGCAATTTATTTAAGCAACGTTTTATTTTTATCAAAATTTAAAATTTCCCCCCAAAAATAATTTGTCTTATCTTTTTTTGTTATCTTCATTAAAATATCATTGGAGTATTTTTCTAAATTAAAAACCAAATCTTATTAATTTTCTCCCTTGATTGATTCATGCTTTTAAAAATGTTATTTTTCCAGTGAAACATTAATAAAAGTTGTTGCCATTGTTGCAGTAAATTATTAGTTTCTTCACTTTGCAAATAAAATTGTCTTTAAATATAAATGACTGAATTTTTACATGAATTAAAGCATTGTAAATTAAGCCCCAAAAATACATTCACTGATGTCCCCAAGGGCACATGGCTGAGTAGGTAAAAGTGTTGGGTGAGTAATCCAAAAAGCTAATGTCTCAA